CAGCTATTGATAGGTAACACCCAGTCAAAAAAGTTGCAGTTGTATATCTTTTACGGTTTATGCGGAAAGTCGCGTTAAAGTTGATGCCGTGGTGTCAGTAAAATGGTACGGATCCATCCATATATCCATATATATCGTCTCGCTTTAAATATACATAGTAAGATGTTAATGAGGAGTAAACACACTCAATTAGGGTTATTGGATACAATTAACAATTAGTATTAGCAAAAATCACCACTAATTAGGGTTAACATATGTAATTATACACAAAATTATTATGTTTCAATTATAAAAGTGCAACTCTCTTATCAGTCGAGAAGCGGGTTTGAAGACGTTAGACGGCGTTGTAAGACAATGTTCAACACCAGCTGTTTCCTGCAGACGCTTACTGCGTTCTTCTTATCAGCCGGGGCTCAACAAATATGTTGTTTATTATAGTCAGTTATGGTAAAAATCAGGTCAATACCTGCATCATAGTAGAGGGCTGAACATTTTTTTGGGGGCTCTCAAAGGTCTTTAAAACCGAAAAAACTTCGGAGCCCTAAAATTCAGACTGGGAAAATCGCCAATTTGGCCACGCCCATTTTTGGTACCAAAATGTCCAGGCAAAATTTGAGAGAAATATATATAATGTCATTCCTAACATGTTAGGGGTCTAAATCTATGTTTTTTTGCACGACCAGTCGATTGGCAAGGTTCTTAAAGCTCTAAATCACTTATTTTTTGCAAAAAAAACTGAAGAAATAGTTGTTAACGTGCCAAATTTTTCAGTCGCAATTAATAAAATTGTTCAAAATCGATTTCCTGAAATGTTTGGTGTGTAGTATGACTCTGTGTCTCTGAGGCCCAAAGCCATTGTGATTTGCGGCTCATGATCGATAAGGCCCACTGTCACTCAGACGTGAGGTTCTGGGGCACATCGCCTGAGCTACAAATAGATTAGAAGTTTTACTCCACGTTCAATAGTCAATACTGGTTTAAGATGTCTAACTAACCGTTGAAAAGATATTCCAAGTCCAAGTAATTATCAAATATTTATCCGGCCACTGCCCAGTTCCTGACATCATACTTATAGGGTTTGTGACCCCTATTGCCTATGTCAGGTGCTGAAGGATTGTATCAAAACCATACAATAGCATATTAAGCCCTCTGCCCTATCGATAGCCATAAACCGCATCTTGAAAATTGCAACGTGAAAATTTGCAATAAAAAGAAAAAACGAATTACCAAATTGGTAATTGTATTGGTGTAGCCAAAATTACCGATTTTTGCCAATTTCTCTACAAATAAGCATGTTAGAGCATATAATGATTCATAAGTCTTAGATAAATGTGCTCATTGCGAATATTTGTCAATATCGGACCTGTCGTACAAAAAACATGGGTTTAGATACCAAACATTTCAGGAAATCGATTTTGAACAATTTTATTAATCGCGACTGAAAAATTTGGCGCGTAAAATAATATTTCTTTAGTTTTTGCAAAAAAATAAGTGTTTTAGAACCTTAAGAACCTTGCCAATCGATTCGTCGTGCAAAAAAACATAGATTTAGACCCCTAACATGTTAGGAATGACATTATATATATTTCTCTCAAATTGTGCCTGGACATTTTGGTACTAAAAATGGGCTTGGCCAAATGTGAAATGGGCGATTTTCCCAGTCTGAATTTTAGGGCTCCGAAGTTTTTTCGGTTCTTAAGACCTTTTTGTCATACGTTGTATGACCCGCCGCGCACGAAGTGCGCGGCTCCCCCTATAGTGAAACGACCGTGGGGGTCGCAACGTGATACAAAGACCTTTGAGAGCTCGCAAAATCAGCCCTCTACTATCATGCAGGTAAATTGCCATAACTGACCGGACTAGAACACATCTACTGAAAAAGCATGCTTGGAACGTTTTGACTTGAATATCTAGCAATCTTCTTAGATATTCAGTCAGATATTTAAGTAAAAATGTTAAAAAATACTTTCTTTCTCTTTTATTGTGTTGTCCTCGTATCTCAATAAAGTTGTATTATTTAGCAAACAAAGTTTTGTATTCCAACAAACATCTTCTCTGATATAAACTATAATGTGTGTCGTATAAGTACTTCAGAGTGCATCATAAAATAAAATAATAAGCAGTTACATCACTGCTTATAATGTGATAACATTATTTTCACAACTTTGAGTTGTGAAAATAATTTTATCCAACGAGTTTGACGAGTTGGTAAATGTATTCTCTGATGATCTACGAAATGATGCTAGCGAATGCAGCATTTACATCGGAAATTAACGACCGATAATATTACTACATATAACACTCCAGAGTCAAACTTTCTAAAGGACACATCCTTATCTCTTAAAATTGTTACAGGTCGCTGAGATGTTGCTAATTATTTTAAATTGGTCAAATAAGCTCAGTGAAGCTCACACTCACACAAAACTTGCCACAAATGTTTGACTACTTGTTATTGACATTCTGTAAAATTTTGAAGCAAAAATATTTATCAGAACATAAGTTATGGCAATTTCTGTTTTTAAAATAATTAGCAACATCTCAGCGACTAAGGATGGACCAGGGAGATAACAATAGTTATCTCCCTCCCAGTTATTGCACCCCTATTTAATGCATTATATTAGCGTAAACAAGAGTGAGATAACAACTTTTACATTATGGACAGTTACACACTGATCATGAGAGAATGATATTTATTCCCCGTCACCGAGACTTTAACAAGCAGTGTCACTGAGAAAAAAAATGTTCCGTAAACTTTGTCGACCGAGTTGTTTCCCTTCCTATCCTGAAGGCAAAAAGTAGAGAATAAATATTTGTGTTCAGATATGCTATAGCCTAGGAGTAGGAGGTCACCAAATGTTGCAATATTGTCAACAATTATAACGACTTCTTCAAAATATTCGATGTTGTAAGGTCCACGGCACACTGCACTTTTCCCAAAATATTAATGCGTCGAAAGTTAGCAAATTATTCGGGTTCTTAACTGTTGAATTTTGGATTTTGGGTTGACCACCAGCCATGCCTGAGACTTACCTCAACAATGTGGTCTCTGTTAGTGTTAAAGTAAGATTTTTCTCGAAAAGGAATGTAATGACTAATGATGGTTTCAGCCGAGTCCCCACGTTACCCTTATAGCCGAACGTGCTCGTAAAGTTGCTGCTTGGGTTCTGAGTGCGTTTAAAACGAGGAACAAAGTCACCATGCTGACCATTTAGAAACCTCTCATCAGAAACCATCTCGAGATAAATCGCTCGCCCAAATTTAAAGAGAATTCTTGTGAAAAGGCCCTTTGGGTGTGAAATTGATTTAATCGGTGTATTTTTGGACGCTGATTCCGAATCACCTCCCATGACGTAGGGTAAAAATGCTTCCCTGGAAAGTTATGGGCAAAAAACCGTTTTGGTCACGTGACAGGTTAGTAAAACATGAATTCGATTGTTTAGGGCTCGCGGGTTAGGGTTGTGGTACTGGTAAGGGTTATGGATAGCTTCGGGGTTATGGTTAGGGTTGGGATTAGGTTTTATCATTAGGGGTCGTTCACATATTACGTAATCAGCCGAGGGAGGAGGGGGGTTTACAAATGCTTACGGTTGATTACGGGGGGGGGGGGTTTCGGTCGGGGGGGGGGGGGTTTCGGTAATCAACGATCGTTGATTACGTAATCAACATTTTCTTTTTTACCCTCTAGAATAATAACAATTTGAGAATATTTTAATTAAAATTTCACTCAATTTCACTCTGATAGTGATAAAATTTAGAAATTGATCGAATATCCGGCTATAATAATAAGTAGTTTAGAAGGTGCTTGGCCGGTAACAATGATTTCGGCTCATCATGATAGCATGATCAGAGTAGCATGAAACGTAGAGAAAGGTGTTTTCTAGGAAAAAAGTCGAGGGGGGTGTCAGGCCATGATTACGTAATATTGCTGTCAGGAGGGGGGGTGGGTCTTGATTACGGTTGATTACGGAAAGGGGGGGGGGGGGGGGGGGGGGGGGGGGGAGGGGGGGTAAAAATTGCTAAAATATTGATTACGTAATATGTGAACGACCCCTTATGTAAAACTGTTTTGTACGGCTGCAAAACCATAAAAACCAAAGTCACGTGAAATTTTTGGGCGAGCGAATTAGTAAGACTAAGAGCCCTTACATATTTCACATGTGATTTCAATCCAATGCAACTGTTTGACCATTGACGTATAATACGTCAATGACAATGGTGCTATAATAACCAGAAAATGACGTTATGATAACCAGAAAACATTAGAAAATGGGTTCTATTTTTGAGGATTTTAATGGAGGACAAAGTTCAAAGTTGAGCGATGAGATTTAAGAAGGGCGTGAATCGAACTTGGAACCGAGTAAAAGAAATTATTTGACTTAGAGTGGTAGCACTCAAAAAACTCACGTTTCTGTTAGTGTTGATTGCACTATCTGATATCAGATATATTATCAATGTTGGCTGATCTTATTGGCCGATCTTTTAAAATGAACTGACCCCACGCGAGTCGGGCAACGTTTCACTTATTTACCTGCGGTCAGTATGCAGTATTTCGATTTCGAAGAAATTTAGACATACCACTATAATTATAATCATTATATCATTGATCATTGGTAGATGACGATATCTGATATTATGATATCTACTTTCTACTTTTGAAAGTGGATGCATTGTTTAACATGCGAACGGCTAACCCTCCGTTTATGACTTTGATTATTCTTCGGCAAACAGTACATATAGCTAGGCTCTAATAACACTAAATTAATTAAAAACAGCATGTCATAGTAAACAAAAATTCAAAATTCGATCCTGAAAATTGCATAGATTTTCGCATTCCGGATTTCAGTTCTTAAATGAAATTGAACAAGCAAGGAGTTAAATCATTTTCAAAACTATGCACTTTCGCACATGACACGCTTCCTTGAATCCCATTCTGCATTCGTTAGTTTAAACGCTGAGTATTACTAAATGTTATAGTTTTAAGTTTCTAATTTTGGTTATAAATATATGCAGCCAGCACGACGGCTTTCATTACCCCTTATTTTCTAAAACCGGTCTCTAATCCTAATTATTACTCGGGGCTAGTATCCAGTATTTAATGGTGCGGGTATGGACATTTACCCTTCTTTTAGCGATTAAAGTAGCCTGCATCGAGGCTTGCAGTTGCTCTAACGAACAGAAACTTACCTTCCTGCACGAACTCAACGCAGAGCAGAGACATATCGGCGGTAAGTTTTCTTATCGGCGGGGTAAATTGCCTATTGCCATTGGTAGCCCTACGATCTCCACTCACTCGGAGTTGTCCTGTGATAAACTTATTGTGCCTTCTCATAAATCATTGGAAAGAGCATAGGAATAGCGGACGATCACAACAGAAATGAAATCATTTCCTCTTACTTGTAACTAGAATTATTATAGAAAAAGATGTTTGCACGTGCAAAATGCAAATGCGCTAATTGCATGTGCAAAATAACCTTTTTAGTCAATAACAAGGCGCTATTGCGATGAGCCATCGGCCAAGCTATTAAATATTAGTAAATTATTAAGAAATATATTTATAAATATGCATTAAACCTGGCTATAGTGGAAATAGAACTATTCGAAATTTGTGCCATGTGCTTAGAAACCTAGTAGTGATTTGTGGAGTAAAGTGCTTTATTATTGTAAATAAAGTGTATTGCTTACTGGCTATATTGGATTACGTGACTATCAAGTCATTTGCGGGGGTAGGAATGAACAACTCTATTTAAAGTTATATATTTAAGTAAATCCTTATAACCCCAGGTTTACTAGCAAGGGTCCAGAATAGCTTCCAAAGATATCTCAACTACAAAGATCTAGCTGAACATCTACTGACAATAGCTGCTCCAGATCTAGAGGAACTGTTAACAGAGGGCTCCAGGTTCGCTGAGACCATACTAGACAACCAGTCCGCTGCTGCTCAGGTGTTCAACTTGCACGTGACCCTGCCAGAGAGGGTGAGACTGGTGGTCCATGCGGGTCAGACCCTTCATAAACTTAGAGCGCTGGAACGGGCTATGTGCGGGGCTGGCACTAGGCCAGTTTCTCAGCTGAACAATGTAGAGGATATCATGTCTAGCTTTATTAAGTACAAAATACATCTTACAAGTCTGCTTATGATCTACAACTGTAACTGAAGTAGTTTGGATCGTAGGATACCCATTTTTTGGGATTGTCGTTTTTAATCTATTAATTTTGGACATGTGTTTGATTTTTGGCAATAATTGCTCAGTTGTTGGTAAATATAATGGGCGTGTTGCTTGTCCTCACTGTACTGTACTTGTTGAGACAACAACGGAGATTATCTATGTGTCGCAATTGTGTTCAGCTGTGTAAAATTTGATTCCATTCTATTCTATTCTATTCTAAGTTCTAAACTACCCCTTAAAATATAATGAGAATGTAGATTCATCAATTTTATCAGCAAACAACAAAATAAATGCGTTCGAAAACAGTATACAACATACATAATAGATACTCAAAGTTTAAACCTTAAAATAAAAGTAAATGGAGTTGAAAATAAACATACCACGTCCAAGAAAATATTCGATTATTGCACCAAGGGACCGTTCACATATTACGCCTAGGGAGAAAAGCTTGCGCTAGTGTAATTTCTGCGTCAGTAGCTACGTGTCAAGACTAAAACGGGGGAGCATGGGGGTCTGAAAGTTCAAAATCTGGCTTACAGATATGTGAATATATGAACGATCCCTAATAATATTAGAATTTCGATAGTGAAATCTCAAGGTGTTACAAATCCCGGGAAATCGTATAACTTGTCTTCCCAATACTGGAATCTCCGTTGTGGACGTGAACAGGGAGTCAGGAAGACTTTGCAGGAACTTAGTGTGGGAGTTTAATGATACTGAAATAAAGGAAATGATCAAATGCTGTTATATCATAATTCATATTGTTCTTATTTGCCAGACACCGGCACAGTGCTGTAAATTTAAAAAAACGATAACAGCCTAAAGAAAATAGACACAATTTGCTCAACAAAATAATTAGTATGAATACATCTAAGGTGGAAATAAAATAAGAGAAGTAACGGTACCTTGGGGTTGCCCCAGGAGTTGTCTTGGATACAGAGGTTAATGTAAAGATGGGTAGCGACTAGCCCGACCAGCATTGTTACCAGCACGTTAATGGAGAGTATACCAAACGAGGAGACATGGAACAGCGTTCCTAGCAGTCTGAGAATGGGAATAGTTAGGATTACTAAAGTTACGTGGAACAGTGTACCTAGCAGTCTGAGAATGAGAATAGTTAGGATTACTAAAGTTACGTGGAACAGTGTACCTAGCAGTCTGAGAATGAGAATAGTTAGGATTACTAAAGTTACAGGAATATGAAGCGCACACAGGCTGTATGTACACATAATACGTAGGTGAAACTTTATAATTTGACCCATTTAGGCCTGTCTTGAAATTATATGATCCGGAAATTGGACAGATCTTATTGGGAATTTGAGCAAACCCTATAACTCTCATTCATAAATGTTTGTGCAATTTTTGACAATAAATATACGAGTAACATTCAAGGAAAGTGTGGGAAGTGACTAGTGGATTGTAGTTCAGAGCGCGCGAAATAGGAAGAATAGTCGCGACTAGCGGGGCCCTTCGTTACGCCACTGGTACCCTGATGTTAACTTGCAGAATACTACAAGGTATCCTGAATTGAACTTTAAAAGTACTGCAAGGTACCCTGATATTAACTTGAAGAATACAACAAGGTACCTGGTACCTAAAGTTTACCTGAAGAGTACTGCAAGGTACCCTGATATTAACTTGAAGAATACTACAAGTACAAGGTATACGTATCCTGAATTGAACTTGAATGTATCATCTTCCAATTAAATTGCTCCCAATATTCCAAATGCTATCGCCTTTCAGACTTGCTCTCGGATCCCATAGTATTTTATTATCCTATCGGGTCCGATAGAAAATCCTATCGCCACTCTGAATTATTTAATCCTATCTCCGCTAGGATTAGCTCTCGGATCCCGTAGGATTTGAATTTCCTATCGTGTCCGAGAGCAAATCCTATCGCCACTCGGAATTGTTTAATTCTATCTCCGCTAGGATTAGCTCTCGGATCCCGTAAGATTTAAATTTCCTATCGGGTCCGAGAGCAAATCCTATCGCCACTCGGAATTGTTTAATCCTATCTCCGCTAGGACTAGCTCTCGGATCCCGTAGGATTTGAATTTCCTATCGTGTCCGAGGGCAAATCTTATCGCCACTCGGAATTGTTTAATCCTACTGCGCTAGGATTTGCTCTCGGATCCTGTAGGATTTGAATTTCCTATCGGGTCCGAGAGCAAATCCTATCGCCACTCGGAATTGTTTAATTCTATCTCTGCTAGGATTAGCTCTCGGATCCCGTAAGATTTAAATTTCCTATCGTGTCCGAGAGCAAATCCTATCGCCACTCGGAATTGTTTAATCCTATCTCCGCTAGGATTAGCTCTAGGATCCCGTAGGATTTGAATTTCCTATCGTGTCCGAGGGCAAATCTTATCGCCACTCGGAATTGTTTAATCCTACTGCGCTAGGATTAGCTCTCGGATCCCGTAAGATTTAAATTTCCTATCGGGTCCGAGAGCAAATCCTATCGCCACTCGGAATTGTTTAATCCTATCTCCGCTAGGATTAGCTCTCGGATCCCGTAGGATTTGAATTTCCTATCGTGTCCGAGGGCAAATCTTATCGCCACTCGGAATTGTTTAATCCTACTGCGCTAGGATTTGCTCTCGGATCCTGTAGGATTTGAATTTCCTATCGGGTCCGAGAGCAAATCCTATCGCCACTCGGAATTGTTTAATTCTATCTCTGCTAGGATTAGCTCTCGGATCCCGTAAGATTTAAATTTCCTATCGTGTCCGAGAGCAAATCCTATCGCCACTCGGAATTGTTTAATCCTATCTCCGCTAGGATTAGCTCTAGGATCCCATAGGATTTGAATTTCCTATCGGGTCCGAGAGCAAATCAGAGCTCAACAGCCGTAAGCTAGTCACATCAATTTAATTAAGTCCGAAAATGCGTGCGCTCCAGACCTTACGATGATCTTAAGTCTTTGCGCGTTACGTAAAGTTAGTGAATCCGGAGTATTTGAGACAATTGGGGCAACTTTATGAAAATAATGTCAGGCACTTTACAAGAAGGTAACATCGCAGCAGTGGCTTTTCAAATCCTACGGACGTCTGCACTCTAACTCTCTACTTTAAGTAGTTTGCTAATTTACACGATAATATTAAATGTTTAACAATTTTCTGTGGGATAGAAAGTTTGGTGTTACCGACTACTGCATACGCCGCGATGACTAACGGAAAGGACGATCTTGAAGAATTTGAAGTTACTATCATCTGACAAATTTGATAAAGGAGCAGAACTCAGCATCCTACAATATCAAAGACTCAGAAAGGCACTCATTCAGTTAATCGCGTTTGGTACCTTAACCGACTCTCACTCGCTTGCCTTGGGGCTTGTCAACAAGTGTTGGAGAGTCGGACACGCCCAAAGGACTGCTTGTTCCTGATTCTAGTCAAAGCAACATTCATTACCCGAAGTACGTCTCCTCTCTGTACTCCAGGATGGAAAAGGACAATCTACGAAAAGAATACTTAAAAACCAAAATGATTCTCTCATCGTTATCAAACTGGAATTCTGTCTACGAGACCCCAGTCTATCTGGATACAGCCCACATTCCTCATGTATGAATTACCTTGAGCGTCTGACGACGACATAATATCATACGTCAATCTAGTGGCTCTTCTCGGAAGTGTCGAAGATGACGAACAAATCGATTATAACGATTGCAATTGGTCGTGCAAAGGTGAAACACGTACCCCGGCAAAGCCTACGTTTTCATTACTTCCGAACGGGAGAAGGAAAAAAAAGGTTTCCTCACTCGAGTGAAGAACTCGTTGTTTAGGAAAGGCACATACCGCTGCGCTGCGTATGCGGTGGATAGCAAAGCTACCTCCATCGGTGATGGACTTTCTGAATTGTCGAAGAAACTGAAGGCGTTTATGAAGAACCGATTGGAACGTATTAGACAATCGGAACCATCTTGAACCGATTTCGAAGATCTTTTCTGTGGGACTAATTCTAGCTTTATCCCGCTTATAAGCATGCACCCAACAGTATGGCGAAGAGATGAAGTTCGCAACTAGCAAGCCTAGAAAAAATAGACAAGATCGAGGACTACCAAGACTATTCCTGTCTATAATTCCCAGAATTGGATTAGACTCTCACGTCGGAGACCAGAAACAAAGCAGACTCCATGAATGAAGGGCGGCCGTGTAGTAGGACGAGGACTCCCAAAACGAAGATGGATCAAGAAAAACAGCTGATCAAACACTAGCATTTCATCTACTATATCATTTTTAATTGTGTTTGTATTATACCATTGTACTATCACAAAACGTTAAAAAAAGCAAAAAAAACACGGATGTATATCTCAAAAAACACAAAAAAAAGAGATATTTCCCAAAAAACCAAAAAAATGTTTTCTATACTTCCTTATCACTTTCCGAGATAAGACCCGAATTTGTAGTTTTATTTGTCCTAAAATTGAATACAACCACTTACAGTTGTACAACAATTTTCCATATTGAATAATATAATATTGCGTGATTAGAAATTTGTTGCTCTGGTAAAAATTGATCCGATACAATAACAAATGCGGATTTGAAATTTGAAGTTTCACTGTACAGACTAGTTTCTCAATGGCTTGACCGTACATCTTTTTCGGCTGATATTCGCGAACATAAAGCACCTTAACGCGAAGGTTAAACTTACTCAAGGAGGGTTTGTTTGGAGCTGCAGAGGAGGAGCAGGGATATTATGAGGGGGAGCACAGACTTCTCTATGTTGTTCCTCGTCCACATCCAGATCAACATCGCCATTATTATGTGATGAGCCTGAGAGAGAAACGAACTGTAAATTCGAGACGCACTTATCTCGTTGATACAATTTATCTCGTTGATTAAATCTGAATGACACAAAAGCAAATCAACAGAGAAGTTTATTATTTATATTGAACAGAAAAAAGTAAAGAAAATAAAACGAACCAAGCTGATGTTAGCCTCGAAACTAAGTTGGATATACTTCCAGCTGAATTCAATACCGCGTGCTCCGACCCAAAGAGGAAGGAGCCTCATGCTGATCAGCTCAGCCATGGCCCATCCTGGTGACAAGAACAATGTTAGATATTATGTCAAGCAAAGGGGCAATCTT